CATTCGTCTGCACTAATCTTTTTCTCTTCACATACCTGTAGAAATTTTTATAGTCAATTTTTATGTTCCCACAAGCTTACTCTCATATTCTATTTTCTCCTCTTGTCCTCCTTTGCTAAAATTTAAACTGCTTCCACTCCTCAGGTCTGTTGATTTTTTTGCCTCTGGATAATTTATGTGTCCCTTCTTTGGATCTTGTACTATTCCTAATTTTCCTTGTCCCATTTCCTGTTTTATTTTTGTGCCAGACAGAAATGAACAATTACTGCAGTTCCTTCACGCCCTCTTTAAATATTCGCTACTGCTGATCCGTTGTCATCCCCTTCAGGAACATGCCCAATTTACCATAACCAGCTTATGCCTCAAACCATCATAGTTTCTTCTGTACAGATTCAGGGCCCTAGTCTCAGAATAAACTACATCACTCTCTACCTTAATGAAGAATTCGTTACATTATGATTGCTCAACTAAGTTTGTGGATGGTACGAACATTAGGAGGGTTATTGACAGTGAGGAGGACAGTCTTAGGCTACAGTTTGATATTGATCAGCTCGTAAACTGGGCAGAACACTAGCAGATGGAATCTAATCCTGATAAATGTGAGGTGTTGCATTTTGGGATGTCTAATAAGGGAAGAATATACACAGTGAATGGTAGAAACCAAGGCAGTACTGAAGAATAAAGCATCCTTGGTGTACAAGTCCACAGTTCCCCGAAAGCGTCAACACAGGCACACAGGGTGGCGAAGGCAGCATGTAAGATGCTTGCCTTCATTAGCCAGGGCATTGGATATAGGAGCAAGAAAGTCTTCTTACAACTTTATAAAACATTGGTTAGACCACAGATTAAATACTGTGTGCAGGTCTGATCACCACATTACAAGAACGTGACAGTACTGGAGAGAGTGCAGAGGAGATGTTGCCTGGGGTGAAAAGTCTCAGTTATGAGGACAGACTGGATATGCTGGATTTGTTTTCCTTGGAGGGTGAGGAGGGGGAATCTAATTGAGGAATCCAAATTATGAGAGGCACAGGCACAGTAGATTGTGAGGATCTCTTCCACATGGCAGATGTGTCTAAGTCCACAGGGCATAAGTTTAAAGTGATGAGCAAGTGGTTTAGAGGAGATCTGAGAAAAGTTATTTTCACTCAAGAGGAGATATGGAACATGCTGCCTAAGCGGGTGGTGGAGGCACAACATTTAAGAAGCATCTGAATGAGTACTTAAAATATCAGGGCAGAGTAGGCAATGGACCACGTGTAGATAAATGGGACCAGCGTAGTTTGGTTGGCATAGAAATGGTGGGTTGAAGGGCGTATTTCTATGCTGAATGACTATGACTCATCCTCGAGAAGCCTCACATAGCTGGACTGTCATGACACAAAGCCAGTCTAGGGTCACCAGTTCTCTAGTTTTTTCTCAGTGTATTAGGCTGGTTTTCTGGCTCATGTGGCATCCTGGGATGATGCTTCTTTAGTATTGCTATTGATCTGAATTGCCCAATCTACATGCAACTAAATTTGCTCAGAACTACAGCTGTACCCTTATTGCTTGCATTTCTAGTTTTTCGTGCATTGCCATTCCCAACATTACCACTACATTTTTGGGCTCGATATACAAATACCAATATCATCGGCCACAACTGCTAACAACACTATTGCTGTACCTTACTAGAAAGGCCTTTTCGTTATTCTTACACAGGATTTGGGAGTTACGGTAAAGCCAGCATTTGTTGCCCATTCCTAAATGGCCTTGAACTGAACGGCTGTATAGGTCATTTCAGGGACCAGTTAAGAGTCAAGCACATAGCTGTGGGTCTGGAGTCACACATAGGCCAGACTGGGTAAAGACTCCAGATTTCAAGGACGTTAGTGAACCAGCCAGGTTTTCACAATTTGACAATGGTTACAGAGTCACTAAAGGACTACATTTTCTTTACTTCCAAATGACTTTTGTTTTACTGATTTCAAATTCCAACATCAGGCATAGTGCAACTTGAACTCATATTCTCAGAGCATTAGCCTGGGGGCTCGGAATTACAATTCCAATCACATGAGCACTATACAATCACTTCCTCATTACTGTAGCAATTCAAGAAAGTAGCTCACCAAAATATCAAGGGGCAATTAGGTATGAGGACAAAAAACAGAGCTTGCCAGCACTACCCACATCCTATGAAGCAAATCAAAGAGTTATCTTATTCCAAGTCTTGCAAGTAAGGATTTTGCAGAATGGCTCTTGAGAAGTCAAGATCGCAAGTACAATGAGTGCTAAACATCATGATAAAACTTTAGAAAAGCTCACAGCACAGGAGGAGACTGGTCAGTTGTCTCCATGCTGGGTCCAACAGCAGCTCAGTTAGTCCCACTCCCTGTTCTATCTCATTGCCCTAAAGTACCTTTTTTTCACGTAAATGGATCTGGGTGGGATGCTCTTCAGGGGGTCAGTGTGGGCTCAATGGGCCGAATAGCCTGCTTCCATGCTGGAGGGATTCTAAGATCTAAAATCTAATTATTCAATTCCTTTTAGAAAGCCAGAAATGAATGTGCCTCCACATTGGAGGGAACATAAAGAACAGCAAAGAATAACCGAAAGATTAATACAGGAGAGAAAGATTAGAGTACATCAGAAAGTTAGCAAGAAATATATAAACAGACAATAAAAATGTCTACAAGTAAAGCAAAGTCAGCATTGGTCCTACATAGTGTGTATCTGGGAATTAACAACAATAAACAGGGAGTCAACAGAGTAATAGATATTTTGTTTGTCTTCACTGTAGACGACACACTTATTAATCCAGAAATAACTGCATATGAGAAAGTGAAATAGAGGCAGAAATTTAAAACAACTACAATCGTTATAGCAAGGTTGCTGAGGCTATTTTAGCCTGAGATGAAGAACACCGGAACCCTAACTCTTGATTCAGTTTGGTTGGGGTTTGTTTCGCTGACTGGGGTATTTCCCCATAAAGTATGGAAATCTCGGAAGATATAAGAACATTGAACAGATTGCCATCATCTAGGCTGCTACTGACCTTTGCAAATGTTTAAGCTTAATTTTTATATAGAGAGTGAGGGTGCCAGGGTAAAGAGCGCACACGAGAGAGAGGGCGACAGCGGATGAGAAAAAGCGAGAGAGGGCGACAGCGGATGAGAAAAAGCGAGAGAGGGCGACAGCGAGAGACAAAAACCAAAAAGGAGACGACATTTTCAACGGCAGACTTCTGCTTTTGAAAAGATTTTTAAAACTGTCAACTGATAGCATTCATTATAATTCCTAAAATCAAACATTTGAGAAATCTGTAAATTGGCATTTTGAATTTACTGATGTGTCTCGATCTAGGAGGTCCTTCTGAAATTTTTAAACATTTACTGTTCCCAACAAAATAACTTAAAAGTATCTCTTTAGCAAGGATAGATTTATCCACCACAAGTGTGAAGTGATATATTTTGGGAGGTCAAATGCAAGAGGAAAGTATACAGTAAATGGCAGAACTCTTACAATGAAATACAGGTGGGATCTTGGGGAGCAATCCATAGCTCCCTCAAAGTGGCAACACAATCAAATAAGGTATTAAAGGAGGTGTATGTCATGCTTGTCTTCATCGGTCAGAGCACTCAGTATAAAAGTCGACCAGTTGTGACGCAGCTATATAAAACTTCAGTTAGGTCACATTTGGAGTACTGTATGCAGTTCTGGTCGCCACATGATAGGAAGGATGTGGAGGCTTTGGAGAGGATGCAAATGAATTATACCAAGATGTTGCGTTGATTGCAGTATATTAACTAGGAGAGGGTGGACAAACTTGGATTATTCTTGCTAAAGCATCAGAGGTTGAGGGGTGACCTGATAGCAGTACACAAAATTACGAGCGGAACGGACAGGGTGGTTAAGCAGAGTCATTTTCCCAGGGTAGAAATGTCAAACGCTAGGGGGCATAGGTTTAAGGTGAGGGGGGAAAAGTTTAAAGGAGATGTGCAAGGCAACTATTTTTTTTAAAAGCACATAGGGTGGTAGGTACCTGGAACATGCTACCAGGGAAGGTGGTAGAAGCAGATATGATAGCAATGTTTAAGAGACATTTAGACAGACACATAGCCAGGCAGGGAACTGAGGGATAGGGACCATCCGCAGGCAGATGGAATTAGTTTAGAATGGCATCATGGTGGGCCAAAGGGCCTGTTCCTCTGCTGTACTGTTCTATGCTCCATATAAAAATTTTGGGGTATAGGATGGATCTGCAATAAACTAAGTTTTCTATTATAGCAGCGCTTCAGTGTATCATGCTTATACAGAAATTGAGAAGAAAGCAAACACTAAGGGCAGAGATAGTAGGAACTGCAGATGCTGGAGAATCCGAGACAACAAGGTGCAGGGCTGAATGAACACAGCAGGCCAAGCAGCATCATAGGAGCAGAGAGGCTGACGTTTCGGGCCTAGACCCTTCATCAGAAAAGGGGGAGGGGAAGGGGGTTCTGAAATAAATAGGGAGAGAGTGGGAGGCAGATAGAAGAGGGATAGAGGAGAGGATAGGTGGAGAGGAAACAAACAGTTCGAAGAGGCGGGGATGGAGCCAGTAAAGGTGAGTGTAGGTGGGGAGTTAGGAAGGGGATAGGTCAGTCCAGGGAGGATGGACAGGTCAAGGGGATGGGATGAGGTTGGTCGGTAGGAGATGGAGGTGCGGCTTGAGGTGGAAGGAGGGGATAGGTGGGAGGAAGAACAGGTTAGGGAGGCAGGGACGAGCTGGACTGGTTTTGGGATGTGGTAGGGGGAGGGGAGATTTTGAAACTAGTGAAATCCACATTGATACCATTGGGCTGCAGGGTTCCCAAGCGGAATGAGTTGCTGTTCCTGCAACCTTCGGGTGGCATCGTTGTGGTACTGCAGGAGGCCCAGGATAAACACTAAGGGCATTCTGGGACCCAGTGCCTCTCCCATATGTATGCACAACTGTTCAAATGATTACGAATTCCTAGAGTGGGTCCTATTAGTTTTCTGACCTTTGAGGTTCTTCTTTATCATCTTTCTCCTCTTCCTTCTTCTCGTCCTTTTCTTCTCTCTCTACTTTTTCAACTTTTTCCTCTTCTTTTTCAGTTTCTTTTTCTTCTTGTGAAGGGCGAGAAATTTGTTGCTGTAAATCAAAAGAGCGGTTTGAGTGTAATACCAGACAGCCTGTGACCAGTAAGCATGCAAGTATCCTCAAAAGCAGTTTCATTCTAGTACCTGAAGATACAACACCAGAGTTGTTACAGATGTGAAATGTGGTGAACTATTATTTGTCTTAAGTTACTATTAGCTTTTTAAAGTGCCTTCGGCCTACATGAGACCACCGTTCTCCTCGTAAAAGATCATGGAAGTATCAATCAGTAAAATATCCGAAGAACAATGTTCCGTATCAAAAAAAAAAGATGGTAAATTTCTTGGGTCGAAGGATCCTTTCTTTAATATCTAAATATCAACCATTGAAAGAAAAGCCCAACAAGCATTGAAGAAAATGCTTATTTGAACGGTAACAAAGTAAGGGAACAAATATTCAGCCTTTAGGAAGTCTTAGTACCTTAAAACTGCAGGCATTTCTTTCAAAAACCTTTGGTTTTAATAAATGTCACTTTGCAGACGTTCAAAAACCATTTGTCAATTGTATTTCACTGTCTGATGTTTGGGAGACATTTCAATGAACTCCTGTGCTAAACAAAGGCACATGTTTATCTGTAAAAATATTTTGATATAGTTCCCTAGAATTCGCCCGTAGGTATCCAATGCTAGCCAAGCCCATTTCAAGCCTAGGTGTAGTCTCCTACATTCTTATGAGCCATTACAAAGCCTGGCTAAACAAAGGTGCAAGGAAAACACATCCAAAACTTAAATAGTCAAAACAGGAAAAAGGAATAAAAATAATAATAATTGGAACTGAGCCTATACTGTAACATCCTATGACTTTATTACATTTCCTCTCCTCCTTTTATTACTTATTCCGCTAGGCAATCTGCACCTCAATTTCAAGCACTGATCACAGGAAAAATCACCGAAATACAAACTAGGAGTAAATGAGCCATTTTCAGGTTGGCAGGCTTGTACTGCTGTGGTGCCGTGGGATCAGTACGGGTCCTCAGCTATTTCCAAACTATATTTTGATTTTGATAAAGGAATGCAGTATAAAGTATTCAAACTTGCTTACAATACAAAGTTGATTGGAAAGAACGTTGAGACGAAGACGCAAGTCTGTAAAGCATTACAGATTATAGACAAGTTAAATTGGTAGGCAAGAAAGTGGCAGATGGAGTGTCATATTGGGGAGTGTGAGGTTACTCACTTTGGTTAAGAAGTGATTATGGGGTCATAGGCTTTTAAATAGATACAAAATGCAAGAAAGTTACAGTGAATACTTATAAAACACTATATCAGTCTCCGTTTACATATCAACTCAAAGATACCCACAGCCCTCTGGAAGCTTCCTCTCCTCCCCTTTGCCCTGACTCCATCCCCTCTCCCAATCCCCCCACCTCCTGTCAGGTATTCACCATCCCTCCTAACCTTCCGCTCTCTGATGCTGAACGCTCCATAATCAGCAAAGGCCTCAGCTATTTCCCTCTGCGTCCCCACCTTAACGAATTTTGGGCACGACAGGATGTCGAACTCTTCTTCCGCAGTCTTTGCCTCCTTGCCCATTTCTTTGGACAGAAGTCCCCTCCCCGCCCCACAGACCCCTTCGCCCAGTTCCAACGCTCTCCCTCCACTTAGACCCCTCCCTCCGGCCTTTTACCTGCACTCGATCTGTTCATTGAGAACTGATGACGTAACATTAGTCGCCTCAATTTTGCTGCCCCTCTCAACAAATCCAACCTAGTTCCCTCCAGAACTGACTGCACTCAGATCTAACCCTGACTTTATCATTAAGCCTGCCGATAAGGGTGGTGCTGTTGTAGTCTGGCGCACTGACCTCTACCTTGTAGAGGCTGAGCGTCAACTCTCAGATACCGCCTCCTACCTTCCCCTGGGCCATGACCCCACCATGGCACATCAGGCCATTGTATCCACTACGGTAACGGATCTCATTTCATTCGGTGATCTCCCCACCTCCGCTTCCAAGCTGATAGTCCCCCAACCCTGCACAGCTTGTTTCTACCTGCTGCCAAAAATCCACAGACAGGACTGTCTGGGCAGACCCATTGTTTCAGCCTGCTCGTGCCCCACAGAACTCATCTCTTCCTACCTTGACTCAGTCTTCTCCCCCTGGTCCAATCCCTGCCCACGAACATCAGTGATTCCTCTGACACCTTACGCCGGTTTCAAAACTTCCATTTTGCAGGTTCCAGCGCCTCCTCTTTACCATGGATGTGCAATCCCTTTACACATCCATTCCCCACCAGGAGGTTCTTAGGGCTCTCCGCTTCTTCCTGGAGCAAAGACCTGAACCATCCCCACCCACCACCACCCTCCTCTGCTTGGCCGAGCTTGTCCTCACACTCAACAACTTCACTTTTAGCTCCTCCCATTTTCTTCAGGAAGAGGGGTTGCCATGGGTACCCACATGGGCCCCAGCTATGCTTGTCTCTTCATGGGGCATGTGGAACATTCTTTTTTCCAGTCCTATTCCGGCCCTCACCCACAACTCTTTCTCCGATACATCGATGGTACCATCAGTGCTGCTTCCCTCTCTCATCTGGAATTGGAAAACTTCATCAATTTCGCCTCCAATTTCCACTCTGCCCTCACTTTCACCAGGTCTATCTGTGACTCCTCCCTTCCGTTCCTCGACATTTCTGTTTGCATTTCTAGGGATAGACTGGCCACTAATATCCACTACAAATCCAATGACTCCCACAGCTATCTGGACTATACATGCTCAATCCCCACCTCCTGTAAAGACTCCATCCCATTCTCTCAGTTCCTCCGTCTCATATGTTCAGAAGAGGCCAACTTTGACAAGGGAGCCGCCAAAACATCCACCTTCCTCAACCAAGGATTCCCCAGGTCCGTTGTTGACAGGGCCCTCAACCAGATCTGACCCATTTCCCGCACTTCCGCCCTCATCTCTTCTGTTCCCTCCCGCAACAGCGATAGGGTTCCCCTTATCCTTACCTACCATCCCGCCAGCATCCACATCCAGAAGATCATCAGACGCCATTTCTGCCACCTCCAGTGAGATTCCACCAGTAGACACATATTCCCCTCCCTCCCCTCCCCTCCCCTCCCCTCCCTGCCTACTGCAGGGACCATTCCCTCCGGGACACCCTGGTCTCCACTTCCTTCACCCCCAACACCTCCCCACAACCCTACGGCACCTTCCCCTGTAACCGGGGAAGGTGCAAAACCTGCCCATTTACCTCCTCCCTCCCCAGTATCCAAGGGCCCAAACATACCTTCCAGGTAAAGCAACATTTTACCTGCACTTCCCAGGATCTAGTCTACTGCATTTGCTGCTCACAATGTGGTCTCCCCTATATTGGGGAAATGAAGCGTAGACTTGGTGACTGCTTTGCAGAACATCTACGTTCTGATCACAAAAAAGACCCTGAACTACTCGAGATAACAAGGTGTAGAGCTGGATGAACACAGCAGGCCAAGCAGCATCGGAGGAGCAGGAAAGCTGACGTTTCGGGTCTGG